TTATTATTATTATTATTATTATTATTATTATCATCATCATCATTAAATACTGTTATTCAGCAAGGATGAATTCAATTAAAATGACAGTAAAAAAATAATTAAAATGTAACAAAGATTTCTATTCCAAATAAATTATGTTTTCTTAAACTTGTTCTTCATCAAAGAATCCTGAAGAAAATCATGCTTTCGATCATGGTTTTATCATCTACATATTAGAATGATTTCTGAAGGATCATGTGACACTGAAGACTAGAGTAATGATGCTGAAAATTCAGCTTCACAATCACAGGAATAAATTATGCTAATATTTATTAATGTATATGCAATTGTTGTTAATAATAATATAACACCCGAGTGACATGCTACTTTCTCTATTTTATCCAATCAATGAGCAAAATATTTTTTTTTCAAGAAAGATTTTCTTTTAATTAAAGAAAAAAAGAGTCTATGAAATACTGCACTGTCATAGGGAGCCAGTCTATAAAAGTAAATATCTAGCAAGTGATTGTGGAAAAGCAAGGAGCATTTACCTGCTTTAGACAGAAAGATAAAATACAGAAGGAAAAAGTCAGTGCATAAGTGCTTGACATGTGAATCAGAAGTCAATAGTTTCATTTTAAAACACAAGTCGGTAATTTTTAGAGTGATCACACCCTCTGACCCCTAGACTGACACTTGATCTGAAAGATTATGATTTAACCCTTGACCAAAACTAAAGATACTAATGTCAACCTACAAACAGAAAGAGAGATTACTAGGGGGGGAAAAACTGGATTACAGAAAAAGTAATTAGCTGTTATAGTAGTTTATAAAATAAAATCACACCTTTTAAACAGTCTTTTAGCCTTCAAAGGCTGTATATGTTTTTTGTTTGTTTTTATATGCATATACTTGATTAAAACTGACACATGTTATGGCATGCTGTTTTAAGCTAAATGTTAAAGCTTCAGGCAAAATATTTTAATTTTTTTTGTAAATGAGAGAATAATTTGAAAACAAAAAGTGTATAAACATAAAGCACATACCTGCCACCCCATTAATTAATCCATTAAATACCAAAATGATAAAAGGTCAGACTTCTTCATGAAATAAATACATCTCGACAATAAATAAATAAATAAATAGACCCGCATATAACAAAAAAGTAATAATTTAACACAGTTATTTAAAAATGAAGTATTAAAAAAAAATAAACGCTAATTTAATAAAGTTATTTTAAAAATTAAGTATTTAAAAAAAATGCTGTAGAATGAACTTTCCTCAGGCAACAAACCTGATCAGAAGTCCTGGAGCGCCCTCTAGTGTCTGATGAAGCGCGTCACGCGCTCAGGAAAAACACCTGAAGTTCATCATCAACCGATCCAATTCATCAGCTTCTGCGTGCAGTGTTTTTCCTCTGTAAGTCATAGCCCCGGGGCCCAGTGCGGTCTTAATGCGGCCCTGTTTACAGGTGTGCGTCCATGTGAATGGCACAGTTTATATTACTGTTCAATCCTTGCTGCAGGTGGCTGATATACTGATCTTGCCTGCACAGTGCTGATTATTTTATCAGGCAAAGGAATATTAAGCACCCCTTTGTAAACAAACATTTATGAGTGGGGCCGAGCTGACTGGTTTGTGAAGAAAAGTTGCAGAAAGATTCTCTTCTCACACCGTTTCACCTCAACAGAGTTCATGCTGACTGAAATGACAAGCTGTTTTATCGAAAATGACTCTGTAGCTTCAATCAGTCTGTCTGAATTATCCAGCTCATCATCGGTGTCTGATAGAGCATGTGTTCACTGGGGTAAGATCATTTCTGTCCTGTACAACGAGCCTTTGCAATTGCCTGAATTGTTGTAGTCGCTTTTACTTGCTCTTTCTTTCCTGAAAGGTTGTGTGCTCAGTGGCTCTGAGACCACAGCTGTCTTTCAAGCAGAAAATGACCTTCTGGAGAACCAGTTTTTCATCAAAACGGTAACCTAGATTTGGGCCTTCATAGTCCATCCCAACATAAACTGTTAATATTTACTCACCTTCCTGCTGTTACAAACTCGTATGACTTTTTTTTTTCTTCTCCGTGGCTTATGTTATTCAGCTTTCCTTCCAGCTAGCTGTTAATCGTTGTTAGTGGACCATTAATTTAATGATTTGAACTTGAGTACGGGATTTGTGAACGAAGCATCGCTTCATCCGATTCATTGAGTCAATTCTTTTCATTCATGAATCGAGCATTGCTCATCAACATGCAAAGCAAGCCATGTTAGTCTTATTTGATTGGATTTATTCACCTTATCTTTTTTTTTTTTTTAGTTGTATATTATTTTTATCGTGGGCAAAAATCTTGAAATAATTTGCCTAAGCGATTTAAAAAAACTGTAATGTGTCAGGGCCTGGAGCTACTTTACAGTCATTTATAAAACTTGTATGATGATTTATTATTTAGCTATCTCTCCAGTAGCTGTTAATATTTGTGACTGCATCGTTGATTTAATTTTTAGAAATGGAGTACTGGATTTGTGAAGGAATCATTGTATCATTCGATTCATTGAATCAATCTTGTCAGTCAATTCTTTTCATTCATGAATCGAACATTGCTCATCAACATGCAAAGGCAGCCATGTTTGTCATTCAGTCATTTATTCAAGGCTTGAAATAATGTGCGGAAGTGATTAAAAACTGTAATGCATCAGAGTCAATGCGTTTTATCATTTTGTAGTATACATTCTCTCTCATTATAGAGAGAGACAGGATATTTGTGAAGTTCACCTTTTGTGGTTATGGGTCATTTACGTTTTGGTTCATGAAGGTGACTTTTTTTTTTTTTTTTTTATTTAATACCTTTTTATGCTTTTTAGTTTTTCTCTGTTTCTGAGCATAATTGAGTCAAGCCCGTCTGTCACAGGACAGAACACAGTCTAATAGAGCTGATTTGACTCCTAACTCAGTTTTGAGCTCATGTGTAGTTCTGTGTTTGGTCTCTGTGTGTCAGTAGTGTGTGATAGTGTTTGAGCAGCTGCAGCATCAGTTCATCACTGTGACTCTGACTGA